CCGGGACGGGTCGGGACGGGCGAGGGTGTCCTGCGTGACAAAGGTCGCAGTGTCGTTACAAATCCTAACTTGGCAAAGCCCCTGAAGCACCGGCACCTTGTCCCCTGCCGCCCACACGGACTGCGAGAGAAGCCGCAGTCACTTGAGGTGTGAACGTGACGCTCCTGTAAAGTAAGGTGGTTTCTCCTGCTAGACGGTAACCACCGGCGCCCAGCTCGGAAGGAGTCGGAAAGCGTAGGCCGGGGACTTGACGGGGTTTCTGCTACCCCTCCCCTGAGGGCTATCAGCCCCGGCTGAATAGCTGGCAGTAAAACGCTGAACAGAAAAGGAGAACCGAGGACACTCAGGAATCAGGCTGAGAAAGAATAGAAACCCAAGAGGCAGAGCGGGCGCTAGGCACTGAGATTGGGGAGCAGGCTGGGTCCCAGGTGCCCAGTTCAAGCTCCAGAAATGATGCTGGAGCCTGGGTCAGATCGTGGATTGGATCCACCTAACATCCTGGCTGCAATAGTTTACTATCGTTTTGCAAAATGTTACCATTGGGAATCTGGGTAAAGTGTACAAGGGATCTCTCTGTATTGTTTCTTAAAACAATACATCTCAAAAATGAAGATAAATTAAAAATAATAATACAGAATGTTATCGACAGTTATCACAATAAAAATTTAAGTTAAAACAAAAAGAAAGCCCAGCCCGGCGTGGCTCAGTGGTGGAGCATCAACCTAGGATCCAGAAGATCTCAGGTCAGTTCTCCCATCAGGGCACATGCCGGGGTTACCGGCTCAATTCCTGCTCGGGATGGTGCACGCGGCAGCTGATCCATGAGTCTCTCATCATTGATATTTCAACTCTCTCTCTCCCTCTTCCTCCCTCTCTCTGAAATCAATAAAGATAGATTTAGAAAAAAAAAAAGAAAAGAAATACCCCTGGAGTTTAGCAGTGGAAACTCTCCTAGGTGTCCAGAGCAAGGATCCTGTGGGGTTAAGTCCAAAGTTGGGAGTCCTGCCTACCTTATAAGATATGTGAGGTCCAAGGTCTCTGTGGCTCAAATTTTCTGAGCCTTTTAAAATATCTTCTGTCAAAATAAGATTTGTAGTACCTACATTAGAGGTTTTCATGTTATGTAATTGGGTTATATGATGCTTATATATAAAATAAAATACTAGGTTGAACTATTGCCATTGGCAGTTTCCATATGGTTTAATCCAATAGTACCATGACACAGACACACAACAAATTCCAGTTCCTTCTTTCTGTTGAGGACGGTGGTGAAGTCTTGAGTTTACCGTGACCAGTAGCATCCCTTGCTGTTTTTCTCTCTTTTTTTTCCCAATCCTCACCCAAGGATATTTTTTTCCGTTGCTTTTTCAGAGAGGATGGAAGGAAGAGAGAGAGAAACACCGATGTGAGAGACAGACATCGATTGGCTCCTCCCGCACACATACAGACCTGGGCCAGGGATCGAGCCTGCAACTGAAGTCTGGAATCATCCCCTTGTCTGGAATTGAACCCAGGACGCTTCAGCCTGCAGGCCGATGCTCTAAACACTGAGCCAAAACGGCTAGGGCCCTGGCTATTTTTCTTTAAACCGAAGGACATGTGCGTGGTCAGAGTCTCTTAAAATTTTTGTTAATTCAGAGTTTGAAGCAGAGAGTCCTACTATGTGTGACTGCTATTTTCTGTTGATATTGTTGAGATTCCTGATAGTAACCATAACAAGAGACTGTATCTCCCCTCTTACAGGCAATAGTTTGGGACGAGTACCTCACAGGACCATTTGGCCTGATTGCACAGTATTCACTACTGAAGGTAAATGAGCTATTCAGGTTTTGTTCAGCGGTTAATAATTAAGAGTTTTTGAAATAATAATAGGGTTTTACATTTTCTCCTGAGTAATTGGCTTCTAAAGCTGTTTGGTCTCATGTAAACACTGATACTAATTCGTGGCTAACATTTTGTATACAGTGGTCCTTTGGTCTATGCTGCTATACTGATTCTAGGGAAATTACTAGCATTGTGTTACAGGGCCATTACCTGGTGCCTTTGATAGATAATCAGGGGAGAGTCATTTGAATTCAGAGGCGATAGCAGAGACTTCATCCTGCAGCTTGGGGCTTTATACACCTGGCTTTGGCAAATCTAAATATGCATAATTAAGTACTAAGTGCATTTGCCTGGGAGTGTAAGATGTCTGAATCTGGATATGACAGGTAAAGACTGGTTTTTTTGGTTAACCTTTTGTGTGTGTGTTTTCCTAGGAACATGAAGTGGAGAAAATGTTCACCCTTAAAGGAAGTCGTTTGCCAGCAGCTGATGTCAAGAATATTATTTTTTTTGTCCGACCCAGGCTAGAATTGATGGATATAATTGCTGAAAATGTGCTCAGGTATTTTTCTCAGGGCCTCATGTTTGGTCCAGAAGAGGCTGGTCCTGCAGGTCGTAATGTACCGAGCTCATTGCAACCCCATTCCCTCAGCAGTGCATTGGGAGGGGGTCTTTTGGAAAACGGTCGGGCATGAAGGATAAGAGGCGGGTGGGAAACTTGTAAAGTTGTTCAAACAGTTTGGAGGGGTCATCGTAAAACCCCACTCTTTTAGCACAGCTGAATATTTGGACCTGTATCAGTACAAGGGACCCTAATTCAAAGGAACAAAAGAAAGAAACCTGTAATGGGTATTTTTCAATATACTGAATATAGTGTGGTTGAACCCCATAAGCGGAATAAGAGCTGATTAAAATTTAATGCAGCATATATAGAGCAAGTTGTCCCCGCCCAGTCTGCACTCCAGAACAGTTGTGGCCCCTAAAACCTTAAAAGCTAATGGGCTATTTTTGGGAAGCGCACCGTTCAGGAGAGTAGAGGTAGGGGCCAAGAATGACCTTTCATTTTAATGTAAGACTCTGGATCGCTGCATTGGTTTGGTCACAGGAGCCATTTGTTTTCAGGAAGACACAAATATCCTATTTCAATAAACCTGAGAGCCTTAAGCCCCATAAATAGTTTAAGAGGAAGCTGGAAAGTGCATTACAAAGTCTTGGCTGTGAATCAGTGCTGCTTTCCTGTCAAGGAGAAGGGAATGAGCAGCTGTAGCAGTTTGGATCTGAGAGTCAGTTTTGCTGTATTTATCTAGCCAGCATTTATTTAGTGCCTGCTGTGTATCGGGGAGTAACATGAACAAAGTAGCCTGTGCCCCTAAAGAGCTCATAAGCTAACAAACATTACTTCATTTGCAGTGAGGACAGACGTGGCCCAGTAAGAGATTTCCACATTTTGTTTGTGCCACGTCATAGCTTATTGTGCGAGCAGCGGTTGAAGGATCTGGGTGTTTTGGGCTCCTTTATCCACCGGGAGGAGTACAGCCTGGACCTCATTCCCTTTGACGGGGATCTCTTATCCATGGAGTCGGAGGGTGCCTTCAAAGTAAGAGTGGTTTTTTCATTTGTTTGTTTTTTGTTGATCCTCACCTGAGGATATTTTTTCCTTTGATTTTTTGAGTGGAATGGATGGAGGGAGGGCAAGGGGTGGGTAGAGAGGAAGAGAAACATCAGTGTGAGAGTCACGTTGAGAGCGAAAGAAACATCAATGAGAGACACATGTGCCCCGTGGGAGTGGGGGTGATACAACCTACCACCCAGGTACATGCCTGTGACTGTGAATCAAACCTGAGACCCTTTGGTGCTCAGGCCGACGCTCTAACCACTGAACCACACAGGCCGGGGCTCCTCAACATTTTTTCTAAGAAATTTCATACAGAAAAGTTGTAAGAATTGTACAGGGAGTGCCCATCACCTAGGTTCTGGGATTAACATTTTGCTGTGTTCGCTCTATCAAGGATCTGTCACCGTATACTCACACAATTAATCCACATCTGTGTAATTAATGAGAATTGGCAGCAGCTCAGGAAAACGGGTCCTGGCATGACAAAGCCCGTCCAGAGGCAAGAGTTCCTATTTATTTAATTAGGGATTTGCAAACAAGGGCAGAATTATTTTCTGCTGAGAACCGTGAGCCCTGGGCTTTGTGTGTTCACTAAGGATTCTGTTTAGAAACCAAGCATTTTTGCCTGGATGGTAAAGCTAAGGTTTACATTAGGTTCTACCTAATGTTAAATTCAACCCTGATTTCTGATGGAGCTCCATTTTACTTATCTATGTGATTTTTAAACAGTGAGCATAATTTAGCATCTCTTGGCATCAGGAGGCACTCTGGATCTTCCCGTGCTTTTAGGATGTGGTCATGATCATCCATCATTGTGCAAAATGTGGGAATGAGAACTCTGCCCAGTTCAATGCTCAATAGCAGTGCTAAATATAGTATGACCTTAATTTGTTTGTATATTAAAAAAACCAGTATATATAAAACCTATCTGCTTTGTAAAAACAAGTTGAAAAGATAACTTTGCAAGGTCAAAAAAATATGTGTATTTAAATGTTAATGGGCATTAGCATTTGACCCTCCCAAAAGATCCTCATGGCTTGAGATACCACCTGGAATTTCGCACGTGCAGAATGGAGTTGGGATATCAATGTAAATAATCATTTTTGTAAAAATGTTTGTAAAAACTGCAAAGTATTCTGTTGTGTGGTCATCTGGGACTTTGGGAGGTCAAAGAATACATGCATTTGTGGGTATTAGCATATGGCCCTCCCAAAATGTTCTACCAAAGTTTACATTGACCACAGCAAATGGGAGAACCCGTGTAAGTCCTTATTAATCAGTAATTTATTCAAGAGCTGGTAAACTAAGAGTGGGCATGCCTGGTGAACACTTTCCTTCAGGAGGTTCTGCCCCAGGAGAACTGCTTCCACAGTTGTACCCTGAGACCTGAGCTGGTGTCCTCATGGCCTAGATGCCAAACAAGTCCCCAGCAGCTTCATAAAGGGACTTGGGTCCCATCTCCTGCTTCCCCGGCAAAGTGGAAACAGTCTCACTCACTGCCGAACCCCAGTGCCAGACAGCGGCGGGCACCCAGGTGACCTGGCCTGACAGTGACCTTCCCTTCCTCCCCGCAGGAGTGCTACCTGGAGAGTGACCAGACCAGCCTCTACCACGCGGCCAAGGGGCTGATGACCCTGCAGGCTCTGTACGGGACGATCCCCCAAATCTTCGGGAAGGGGGAGTGCGCCCGGGTGAGAAACGGCGGCTCTCTGGTGGTGAAGGAAGGGGCCCGCTTGGCACCCAAAAATCAGGGAGCGGGAAGGCATTTACAAGCAAGTTCTGTGAATCCTTTTTATTTGAGAATTTGTCTACTTACTAAAACTTATTCATAACCCCAAAATCGATAGCATGTTGTGGACTTGCTCAAAGCAGCAAAAAATTCCAGTTGCCCAGTGCTCATGTTGGCAGCTGAGGTCGGACAAGGCTCTGCTCTGCCCTCCTTTCAGCTCCCACTGTGAACAGAATCCCTTCTCCACTAAACGGGGCCACGCACTGCTTGATGTCACATTGTTTGCATTCCTGTGCTTTTTGTTGGTGATTTTGCTGTTAAAACAGTCCTCACGCATAGTGAAGTGCTGTCCAGTGTCCCTAAGTGCAGGAAGGAAGCACGTGTGTTAGATTAGCTTCATTCAGGCACGAGTGCCGGTGCTGTTGGCCGTGAGTCCACTGTTAGTGAATCAACCGTATAGATGAAACACAGTGTCTTTAAACAGAAACATATCAAACAAGGTCATATGTTGCCTGATTGACAAAAATGTGACCTGAAGCTCCCAGGAACCTCACCCTGGGTTTCCGCTCGGAGCGGGGGCTCAGTGTTCCCTAATTCCTGCTCACGGTGACTTTATAGGACAGAACTACCAGGAATAACACAGACTGTCCCTGATTTTGTGCCTCACTGAGAAATAGTGGCTGCCATTGGGCACAGTGTAAGTGTTGGAACCGGTGGCCAACAGCAAATGCTTTTCTATAGCTGCCCATTTCTCATCAATTTCACTATTCCACAGTTTTTATCTTTTTTTACTTTTCTGATTGTCTTTGTTTTTAGCCAGATTTTAAAATCTGCTCGTCCCTGGGAGGGTCCCACCTGATGCAATGTTTTGTTTCCAGCAAGTGGCCAACATGATGATCAGGATGAAGAGAGAATTCACAGGAAGCCAGAACTCTGTCTTTCCCGTCTTCGATAATCTCTTGCTGCTCGATCGAAACGTGGACTTGTTGACTCCCCTTGCCACTCAGCTTACGTATGAAGGACTCATCGATGAAATTTATGGCATTCAGAACAGTGAGTAAAGTGCCATCTATTTTTACCAAGAGGTCATCTGACAAAAATATCCAGCTCGTTTTTTTGAAGGTACTTTCTTTGCATATAAATAAGAGAATATTTAAAAATATAAAAATATTGTGTCTTTGCATATAAATAAGAGAATATTTAAAAATATAAAAATATTGTGTCTGTTGGTCACACGAGGGCTGGCCGGATGTGTAGTGAGGACTGTGCTTGTCCCCTGTGAGCAGAGGCCAGGGGTTAAATCCGGGTGGCACTGCAGTTTGGAGAACGCAGATCCCGTGGCCGGCAGTTGTACAGGAAGCTGTGGGAAAGAGCCTCCCCGTGCCTGGGCACCTGCGAGGTCCTCCCAGGAGACGCACACCGGCGCTCGTTCCCTTCCGTGTTGCCCAGGTTACGTGAAGTTACCTCCAGAGAAATTTGCGCCCAAGAAACAGGGCGAGGGCGGTAAGGACCTTCCCACGGAAGCCAAGAAGCTTCAGCTGAACTCAGCGGAGGAGCTGTACGCCGAGATCCGGGACAAGAACTTCAACGCCGTGGGCTCTGTGCTTAGCAAGAAGGCCAAGGTGATCTCGGCCGCGTTCGAGGTGAGCAGGGCGTCATCGCCCGCCGCTCTTGTCGCAGGCTGGGCTGCCCACCACAAAGAGGGTGGGAGCTGCAGACCGGGAGAGCGTCAGGTGGCGGCGTCTCCCTCATCCTCAGAAGCCACAGACGCTGCCATCAGAGGACCCAGGTTTCTTTTAAACTTTACCCAGGCCCATGAGAAAAGGTATTTTGTTAAGTTTTTCTCTTCCTTTTTTGGGGGGTTTAGGGGCAGGTTTGCAGCTTACAAGCTTTTGTCATAAACATTTCTTTTCCCTCCTTTTTCATTGTTCCCTGCCTTGCTTAGAGGAAGGCGGCTGTACTATAAATAAAAGATCCTCTGATAGAACTTTCAGTCTGAGGGGAAAACTCCAAGTTTGGCCAACATGCCGGCGGCAGAGGCGCCTGCGGATGTGCCGGGTGATAATGAGAGTGAAGTCCCGGGGGCCGGAGCTTCTTAACTGGCGGCTTCATTATCGCCCTCCCGCCGCCTCCCGCCCACTCTCCGCTTCATTCCCGTGAAGCTTGACTTTGAAATGTGGGAAATCAGTAGGATGGTAGACGGAATACTTGGGCTTTAGAAACATGAATTTGGAGACCTTTTGAAAACTGATTTTCCACTGAATATTTCCAGATTTCACTTTTCTTAGGAATTATGCCTACTAACTGATTTTCACATTTCTGAAGTTACTTTTGGTTTAAATGATTCAATTTTGCGAAAAAATATTTTCTCATCACTAAATGAGGTTCACTTTGTTCACGGACAGTACTCAAGGTTGAGGCTCAGTAGGAAGGATGGCGTTTTCTTCCCATTACAGAGGGAACTTTCTGCTGTTTATGTTCCCCTCTTAACATAGTGTTTTCCTCCTAAACATTTGTGGTTTACCCAGTACTGTCCCCCACAAATACTCAGATGCCCACAAAACACTGTTCACAGCATAAGCCGGCCCCTTTGCCCTCTGCAGAAGCACCAGTGAACTTACCTTTTTAGTTTGCTCTGTGACGGTGGAGCTGGGTTCGGCCTGATCCCGATTCATTTGAATCCCAGTCTCCCTGTCCCATTAAATTAAACTAAACATCCTCTGAGCTGTAACAGTGAGCATCCCCTTCCCGTTGACTCTGCCCACCTCAGGAAAGGCACAACGCCAAGACAGTGGGGGAGATCAAGCAGTTCGTCTCCCAGCTGCCCCACATGCAGGCCGCCAGAGGCTCGCTGGCCAACCACACGTCAATCGCGGAGTTAATCAAAGACGTCACTAGTGAGTACCGGTGCTGTGATGAGGCTCACCTGGGCTCCTCGGTACCTGCCAGTCCCTGGTTTATTCATTAAAACACAGGCTGTAAGCGCTGCCTCGGGGGTTGGTTGGAGCCCTGTGTTATGAAGTACACTTTGAATCTTAAATTTAGCACAGTGTTGGATAGAAATCAGCTGAAACTGGGCTGAATCTGGTGATGAAACACTATGGGGAAGTTAGCTCTCACTGGGACTAAGGCAGAATTTTTGAGATCTGTATTTGAGTTTTGAGGACAGCAAAGGGGTACGGGGTCAACTATCTAGATGTAACTGGGGGCACAGGTCGTGGGGTTTCCCTGCTTTTAGAAGGTTCTCGCCAGGTCACGTTTTCAGCCTGTCGCTTGCTGCTTTTTGTTGTGTCTTGTTTCTTAATCCATAAAAGCACGTTATTCAAATAGATGGACATTTGTTTAATTTCTAAGCTGTAAATTTCCTGATTACATTTTAGCTTCTGAAGACTTCTTTGATAAGTTGACAGTGGAGCAGGAGTTTATGTCTGGAATAGACACCGATAAGGTAGGTAAACAGTGAAACTCTACCAGATAATGTATCAGACATGAGATTATAGCTAGACAAGCAACGGCTTTGACTCCAGTGTCTTGCTTAAATATGTTTAAGGGCCAATGCAAAATGTGAAAATGTAGGTTTTATCAGGTAACAGGTATTTAACCTCTCTCTGTAGAGGGCACTTCTTGTGACAGCCAGAGAGGCGAGACCCAGCCCCCGAAATCAAAGAGCTTTAAGGACTGTAAGAGATAAATTAAGATACTGGCTTTCAGAGAGAAATGGTCATGTAATTTCCTTACATATTCACTTCTATTAGTGAATTTTAAAATGTTCAATTTATGAAAATAAGAGACAGATGAGTCCAGACAGGCATCTAGATTCAGGAGTGTGTCCTCGCCAGCCTTATGCTCCTGGTGATAGGTGTGTGTAGCAGGAGCTGGAAGGGTTTTAGGAAATGTGGGGGGAAAATGTGCTATCCTCCTACATATCCTCTTTAATTTTGAAAAATAAATGAGTATATATCAAGTCCTCGAGGTCCCAGGTGCTGGTGTATACTTTGTTTCCAGGTCAACAGTTACGTTGAGGACTGCATTGCTCAGAAGCATCCACTGATCAAGGTGTTAAGACTCATTTGCCTCCAGTCTGTGTGCAACAGTGGACTCAAACAAAAGGTTCTGGATTATTACAAGAGAGAAATTCTCCAGGTCAGTATATTTTTAAATTACTAATTTGCCAAGGGGGGGGGAAACAGTTTTTTAAAAAAGACTTCTCAAGTCTGCTCACTTAAGTTGGGCCCGTAAATGTTGACTCTGAATATGTTAAATCCTCTCTGAAATTATGAGGTAGGTTCATTGTGATGGACAAGCAATTCTGGGGCAGGTTTCAGCCGCTGTCCTTTCTCTGTGCCCACGGACGGTCATCACCTGGACCTCAGTGATGTGCCTTGGAGAACAGAATCGATTTATTGGAAGTGCTCTTGAAAGTCGCAGAAACCCTTTTCCTGATCTTACATCCAGGCCAAACGACTTTTCTTGTAGACATACGGCTACGAGCACATCTTGACCTTACACAACCTGGAGAAGGCTGGCCTGCTGAAGCCACAGACGGGGGGCAGGAACAATTACCCCACAATCCGGAAAACTCTGCGCCTCTGGATGGATGACGTCAATGAACAAGTAAGGCGCCCTCCACACGTTAGCTTAGTCACTGGTGCTACTCGATCCACGCATCCACCTTGCTTTCTAAAAACAATTTTCTGATGTTTGTGAAAAAGTAATGCATTTGTGTGTTATGTCTGTCAGAATCCCAGCAGAAAACGGGGTAGTTTGAGGAGAGTTTCATGAAGATGGGAGGGGGGCAGTGAGAGGCAGTGCAGTGGGCAGCCCTTACCAGGCAAGGCCTGAGGGCAAGGAGATGGAGCTGTTCCAGAAACCTGTGTCAGACCTGGGCAGAAGAGCTGAGTGGAGAGGTCGTCTGACAAGATGAGGGGTGAGCGGCCTCTGGTCGAGGGACACCACCAGCCTCCAGCCATGTCACAGACAGGAAGCCAGGGCCAGAAAACCCTGGCCTGACTGCTGCCCACTCTCCCGTGTTTGTCTGGTGCCTCCCATGGGCCCAACCCAAACAGCACGGAGCACATTGGTACAGAGCCTCAGGCCTACCTCCTAGGCTCAGTGCTGAGGAGGGCAGAGAGCACCTGGGAGATGCCCAACACGTGCGGTGAAAAGTCAGCTCTTGCAGAAGTAAGGCAGACAGTGAAGTTAGGTCCCTTTCACATCCAACCCCAATTTCTCCTCAGAGGCAGCTGTTGGTAACCCTGACCCACTTTCAACCCTTGCAGAAAGATTGTGTACATGCAAACACTTTCTCATAAATCGTGCAAATTCTATACCATGTGCAGCTGTCTCTTGAAGAGCCTTCTGTGACCTGCCTCTTTTTTAAGTTCTCTCTAATTGCTACATAGTGGGTTTGCAGATACACCTTATTTTATGACTTGACGGGTTTCTGTTGCTAGTAATTAAGGTTGTTCCCGGTCTTTAACTGGTACAGACCATGTTGCAGCTACTGTTCGTGCTGTGGTCTGGTCTCCCCTGGCATGCCAGCCCCCCTGTAGGATAAATGGTAAAAGAATTGCTGGGTTCAGAGGTTATGCACATTGTTTCTCAGCTAGAGGTGCCGGGTAACTCCCCACCCCCCACCCCACGAAGTTTCTTGCCAAACTAACAATTTTTCACCTCCAGTACCTGGAGATGCTTCTTGTCGCTTTTCAAGATGTGAATCAAAAGTGAACCTCTGGCTTCGAAGGTGCAGGGGGGTGGTTTTTTTGTCTTCAGAGATAAATCATATGGTTTCAGGTTACCCAAAAGGCCTCAGTCAGTGGCTCTTGGTCTCTATACCTAGAGGCTTTTTCTCTCTTTAACTATGTTACAGAACCCCACAGACATATCCTACGTGTACAGTGGCTACGCCCCTCTCAGCGTGCGGCTGGCCCAGCTGCTTTCCCGGCCTGGCTGGCGGAGCATCGAGGAAGTTCTGCGCATTCTCCCAGGGCCCCACTTTGAAGAACGGCAGCCATTGCCCACGGGACTGCAAAAGAAACGTGAGTCTGCGGCCGGGATCTGCAGATCGTTACGTGCCATTAGTGTGGTTTTCATGTATTATGCAGTTGCCTTGTGAAATACATTTGTCCAGTCCCTGGGCGTCAGAGTCCAATACACCTCTTTTGTTGGTTGCTAATGTACACTGTAAGCACGGGAGTGCATTACTCCCTCGGGGGTTGCAGCTTTCCGCTCAGAGTGGAGAATCTCAGTAGTTAGGAAAATATTTGAGAGCAAAATCATGGGCCTAAGTTTCAAATGAACTGTCAGAGCCAGACATGGTTGACTTTTTTTCCCCCCTTACAAATGATGTTTTTTAAGAGGTAGGAAGAGAAACTGCAATAATAACTCTTAATTCTGAAATGTTTCAATTTTAGGTCAACCCGGGGAAAACAGAGTCACCCTGATCTTTTTCCTTGGGGGTGTGACCTTCGCCGAAGTTGCTGCCCTGCGCTTTCTCTCCCAGTTGGAAGATGGGGGCACAGAATATGTCATCGCCACCACTAAACTGATGAACGGGGCCACTTGGATAGAGTCTCTGATGGAAAAGCCTGTGTAGGGCGTTGAGAGCAGACAACAGGCAAACTGCAGAATAAACTGCCCCTTGGGGGAAGCCGCTGGAGGAAATACAGCCCCACCGAGGAACCCAACACAGGAATACGGAACCGCCTTTGGGGTCAGCCTCTTGAATTAGGCTGTTTTCTCCCTCCTGCTCTCTTTCGTGTTCCTAACTTGAAGAAACAAGAACAGAAGAGACAACCTGGGTCAAGAAACACGGGTTTTTAATGTTCTAAGCTCAGGATCTTCGTTAGAGACCTTTGGAAATACACTGAGGATGGTGGGGATGGATCATCTACACAGCCACACAGATGGGCCAGTTCTTCAAATAAGCAAGCAGGGACCAAGCAGTGAAAGTGAAAATAAAAGTGGACATTGCGCCCTGGCCAGTGTGGTTCAGTGGTTGGAACGTCTGTCCGTGCACCCAAAGGTCAAGGGTTTGATTCCTGGTCAAGGGCACGCACCTGGGTTGCAGATTTGATCCCGCGCCCCAGGGCCTCAGGTGAGGATTAACAATAACAAATTAAAAGATTTGCTTTTCCTGGGTTTAATTTGGCCTTGGCATTCAGTCTTTGGAAATAGTCTTAATGAAAACGATTCCTGGGTTAGAAGTCCTTTCTCAGGCCCTTGTTATCCCAGGGAGATTAGTTTATACCTTCCAGTCCGGCAGTGGTCAGCCTCGGCTGCCCTAGAGAGTGAGGTGCGTTTTCCCCTCAGTGTTTTGGCTCATGGGATTCAATTCAAGTCTGGTCAGGTCTCCTTGGCTGGGGTCTTTGTCCTATGAACAGACACTCAGTTGTGTCTCATGTGTCTACATTCACTCATGGCTCTCAACTTGCCCGCTTAGAGCGTAGTGAGGCCAGCTCCTGAAAATGCATTCCACAGAAGACTTAAAAACATCAATTGCTTCACTTGTATGCAGATAGAAAGTGTGGATAATTATATATCACATGCCTTTGTGTCCGTTCATTTAATACTTGAAGCAGCCTTTGTCTCCAAGGAGTGTGGCCTTCCTGAGAAAGGGTGTGTGAATGGTACACTTATTCCTGGAGAGGGTGGATTGTTTACCTCACGTCTGGACTTTTTTGTAGTTGAGTAGGCAGCTCTGCTACACCAGCAGTCCCCTAAAAAGGGGGTCTGCGTAGATAAAGAAGTCTAGTCTGCATAGGCACTGTTTTGTGTCTTACTATACACTTCTGAATTTTAGCCAACAGAGAAATAAGCATTTGAACTGTAGTTAACTGAGGGGGGGG